GCGGCGTTTTTGCATAGATTGTGCGGGTGTTGCCGCTGTATGTGTGTGTGTGTGTGTGTGTTGGTGTGTGTTAGGGTATGTGTGCTAGGGTGTTAATGCTGTCAGGTAGACAGAAGAAAAGACCCGCAAGCAATAAACAAATAATCATAAATAATGGGGAAATTTTTAACAGGCACGCTCGAAATTAGCTATTAATTGCAGCAAAAAAAGAGAGGAAGAGATAAAGGAGGAGAAAGAGAGAGGGAGAGAGATTTACTAAGGGTACGGGTGAGTGTGTGCTAGTGGTTAACGGGGTGGCAACGCTGGCGCTTCAATTAGGCTTACGGCCCATATGCAAATAACGCGCGCAACTGGCTGATAGAAACTGTAGCATAGTTATAAGCGCAGGTCGACTAGCGGGCGGGCGGGTCGGCACTTTGCCATTGATTTGATTTGGTTTCGTGTGATTGCCATTCTGGGTAATTTGTGGGGAGAGTGGGTGGAGAGAGGGAGGGACGGGGGTCTCGGGGCTGCTGCAAGCCGTAGCTGTGGGCTTAGCATATGCGCACGACTTCAATCAGCTATGTAAAATCTATGTAAAATATTTATATTGCACTCGATGCATTCCGTTGAATGGCTGGCCAAGACGACGCCCGGCTGCATGCGTAATCAGTGCAAATGTCATTTACATAAACATCGTGCCGCACAAGTGCTGGGGCCAGAGCATCTTGCTGTTGCACAGATACCAGACGACCAGAAGATGCACGATACACGTTGCAACTGTGTGCGTGCATGCAACTCGCTTTCTCTCTCTTGTTATGACATTTTCATTATTTATTTAGACAAAAGAGTTGCCTCCCACCATGCTAGACCCAAAATTAGTTTGTTTTTGCCATAGAGAAAATCCTGAAGTTATTATCAAATAAATAAGTGCACACTGTACTCAAAGTATACCGTACCACCCGCCCGCAAACCAGGACTATAATTTTGTACAAAAATCTATAGCATACGACTTGCCACACAGAGCTGGACTAAACTACAGTCCGATGCGGACACAAAGTGGACACACAGTGGACACTCGTGTTTCTCGAGCGCCTGCATCTGAGTTTGGCAAACAAAATTGCTTGAGTTTTGTGTGCCATAAAATGTAGCATAAGTAAAGTCCTGCCAAATAAATATGCATATCCATGCAGCGCGCGTGTCCATGTGTTTGTATGTATATATACATGTGTTTATATCTCCATGTCCAGTCCGAACAGCACCCGCCCCTGTGTAGACGTTATTTTTGCTGTGGTTTATGCGTAGATTTTGCGGTCGGGGCTGAGAGGCAATTGCGGCAAGCATAAATCACTTAAAATTTGTGCCAAATAAATACAGTGAGCCACAAATATTCTGGATTTGCATGCTTGAGAGCTGTGCTAAAGTCTGACTTTTCCTGCACACACAATAAATAAATAAAGCAAAAAAAAAAAAACCAAATACAAATAGGAAAAAGCATCAAAAATAAATGAAAATGAAAATAAATATGTTTATATGGCTATGCAAATCAACTGCACACACAAACAAGTTGCTTTTAAAGTTCAGCTTGCTGCGAATTGAGACATCGCAAAACGATTTTCCTTTTAAATTTTGTGTATCATTAAATAATTTAAAAGGCAAAGTAAATACTAATAAAAACTTTGCACTGGGCAAACTTTAAAGAAAACAAACATATTTGTTTGGCAAACAGTTTTATTAGGCTCTTGAATACGTTTTTTGCCTGATGATATCGCTTTTTTATCGCATTCTCAGCTGCATAGCTGATAAATACGACACGAGATTTATTGCTACATCAATATATTTTTTGTTCATTTATCGCCACACTATCCGCCTGGCGATAGAGCTTAAAGTACTTTAACTTTTCTACAGGATTAGCTTGAGTTAAATATTTCCTGAGCTCATCAAACTTAAAATTCGACGGCGCAGCGAAAGTGCAGCTTAAAGGCATGCATGCAAAGTGGAAAACTTTTCCAGACCAGATCCATAGCTATGCACACACAAAGGCACACGCACACACACACGCACATGCACCGTAGTTACATAGACACGCTTCGAGCTGAATGGGGAATATGTCGTATACGCAACGTAAAACTTGGCCAGGCGTAAATGGATACATCTTGGCTATAAGTGCATGCCAAACACACACCGACACACTGACACGCACACACACACGCACACAGCAGCAGCTCTCAGACAAAACATGATAACAATTAAAACTTTGTACACTTGGCGTATTTACATTATTCATTTCGGTGTTGGATTCTCTTGTCACATTCGTAATCGTTGCAGCCGGCTCTATTGTCTCACTCTCTCTTTCTCTCTCTCTTTCCCTTTCTCCCTCTCTCTACCGCTCTCCATATTTTCTGTATTTTATTTAATATTTTATCCCTTGTGCGGCGGATTCTGTTCGTCTTTCTTTACCGCAAGCTAATTTTTAGCTAAACAAATAAATGAAGCCAAAAATAATGATTTAGCTGCAAAAGAAAGCGGCTTGTGTGTGTGGGTGTGTATGTGGGCGCGTGTGTGTGTGAGCCACTCGCTTAATAACATTTTAAAATAAATGCTTTATTTATTGCGAAAGGTAATTACGAATGGCCCGGGTCCAGTGCCCTGTGCACAACGCACATGATATATGAAACCATAATTACTTTAATTAAGCAAATATTTTCACGCGCCAAGTTTTGCACGTTGTTGTTGCAGGTCAGCACATTGATTGAGCATATTTATTAAATGGCTCTCATTGTTGCACGGGCGGCAAACAGCACCAGCAGCAGCAGCTCTCAATAAATTGATGCATTTTAATTATCATTTATAACGCCGACGCCAACATTGTAATGGCCATTGAATGCGGCAGTTGAACTGGGGCTCCCCGTTGGTCGTAGGGGGGGTAGAGGGGGTCATTCGCTTGACTGGCAACAGACATAAGTTATAGCCCGATTTGAGTGTATCAAAAAGATTCCAATTGAGCGCACTGAGAGACTGAGAGTGTCTCGACCCTATGAGAAAAGTGAAAAACAAAACAAGAAATTAATATATATAAACTTTATATTTTGCCATACAAGAACTTAATTTTCGTCCGATCGTTGCTATATATGATATAGTCGGCCGATTGTTGGGGTTGATGTACTGCATGGAACAGAAAAAGCTGAGAGACTTTTTCGCATGGAAACAGACAGATGGATATGGCTATATCGACTCGGCTGTTGATACTGATCAAGAATAGGTATATATATATATATATATATAATGGCAGAGATGACTCCTTTCATACGTTACACATTTCCAGACAAAATCATAATACCCTCCCTCTGAATATAAAAAACACAAGCATAAGCAAACAATAAATTTAGAGTTGTTGTTATTATTTCAAACAATGCAAAAATCAAAAAAAAAAAAACCAAACCCAACGGTTGTGATTCTTCAACTCTTTGCACCGATATTTATGTATATTTTCATTTAGACGGACACACAGACGAAGATAACATGAATATACATATATACACTGTGGTGCACAACTAAAATTATTACTATGTATAAATAGACATGACTTAAAAGCTGAGAGACTAGTTCGCATAGAAACAGCAAGACGGATATGGCTATATCGACTTGGCTGTTTATACTGATCAAGAATATATATTTATAAGGTCAGAGATGACTCCTTCTATGCGTTACACATTTCCAGACAAAATCATAATACCCTCCCTCTGAATATAAAAAACACAAGCATATGCAAACAACAAATTTGGAGCTGCTGTTATTATTTCAACGAATGACGTCAGAATATCTGATGGTACATTAATCCCCTGGAAAATCAAAAACTGCACAACTTTTTAGTCACCTATTCGTAGGTTCAGGGTATCGCCTAGTCGTACACTTCTCCCTAGAGCACTCTTGTTCGTTGTCTAAAGATGGGCATAAAATACACGATGGCCTTCACAGAAAATCGCAAATGTCATTATTATTTGATTGTTGTTTACATTTGTTCATTCACTTTCAATGACCCATATAATTTAATAAAATTGCAACTGAAATAAAAAATAAAAGAAATTTTCAATAGGTGCACGCTTAATAAAATAACTTAAAATAACTTATACAGAAGTTGACAACATTTAATATTTTATTAATGTGGTTCGATTACATTGAGGTGATTTTTACAGGTAAAAGATCGCTCCACAGGATAAGAATGTTTCCATAGAAATATATTCATAAACCAAGCAGGAGTAGACTAAGGCATGAAAATAATCAAAGAACTTGTTAGTTTTTATATAGCTGGATTCATATAATCGCACCGACTAACCGTGTGTAACAAATAACAGCAATGACAAAGGCCACAAAAAATTGGTTGATCGCTATGCATACGGCCTTCTTATCTTCGGCTGTCAACATTTTATCCACCTGTCAGTTTTTTAACTGGAAAAATCGCAGACTGAGACACCAACCAATTCTGTAGACGGTCAAATTGCAAGTGAATCTGCAGTCTTCTGCCATTCTTCCAATATGCCAACTTCCAAATAAGCTATTTCGCACAACTTTTGCTCGATGTTTGTATAAAGCCACACAACATGTATGCAAAAAAGAAAAATTAAAAAAAAAAAAACACACTAGATAGTCGAAGCTGTCAAATTATAGCGAGGCTTACGCAAAAAGACTGAAATGGCTAGATAAATTACTTATGTATATGTATATACATACGTTGGAAGATGTCTTCTTTGTTGTTTTGCAGACAAACGAGAATATTTCTATAATAATTTTGATATATTTATACCCTGAACTGATTAAAATGACTAAGTGCCGGGCAATTCCGACTAAATCCCTTTTGTTTGCCGTGTAAAGTTAGGCATGAAAAACACGTCTCAGTTCGTGGCCTTCATAGAAATACGCATACGTCTTGTTTTTGTTTGTTACTTGAGTTTTCTCACACCTTTTCTTTTGCTTTGTTCATTCATTTTCAATGGGTGCACGTTAAAAAACTGATACAGAAGTTGAGTCAATTAAACATTTTATTATTGTTATTCGATTACATTGAGGTGATTAATGCTGCAATTTTGCAGGCAAAAGATCGCTCCACTTGATAAGTATGTTTCCATAAACAGATATATATATATACATATGTATATATGATATATATACTGATGGCGATCATTGATATACTAAGCTATGAAACAGACAAAGAATTTGTTAGTTTTATTTAGTTGGATTTATATAAATGCACCGCCTTACCGCGAGTAATCAGAAAGACAACAATGAAAAAAAAGGACAGCACAATTATGTTGACGCCTATGACTAGGGCCTTGTTATCCTTGAATGTCATCATGTTGTCCATTTGTCAGATTATTAACTGGAAAGATCGCTGACTGAGACACCGACTGCTTCTGAAGACAGCCAAATTGCAACTGAATTGCTAGCCGTCAAACACGTTGCGATCGTTGAAAATGGGTAAACGGGTATATTGTTTTTGTGCAAATGTATGTAACAGGCAGAAGGAAGCATCTCCGACCCCATAAAGTATATATATTCTTGATCGAAAATCGCGACAAATGGCATAAATAAAAATTTGACTTAGAAGTGCTTTCATAGAAAAGGTTGATACACTGCAAAATATATGAGTACAGCTTAAAACGGACAAGCAAATGGACATGATTTAATGGACTCGGGAATATAAATACTTTATGGGATCAGAGATGCTTCATTCTGTCTGTTACATACATTTGCACAAATACAATATACCCGTTTAAAAGTCGAATTTTTTTTTTAAAACTGAAAACTGAAAAACCAACCAAAAAAAAAACACTAGTAACAAAGAACAAAGAATCACGTTTGGAGTTGTTGTTATTATTTTAGGCAATGAACTCAGAATATTATCGTTTACATTTATACGGCAACTGGAAAATAAAAGAAATATATATAAAACAAAAGTCCAGAGGGTAGCATTTTGCTCTAATTGCAGCGATGTTTCGTTTAGTCGAATCTGTAAAATTATATCAAAATCAATTTTCTGATAGCGTAGCGCTTATGCAAAAAGACTGAAATGGCTAGATTGATTATATATGTATGTACATATATACATTAGATATATGTATATACATACGTTCGAAAATGTCTTCTTCCAAGCTTAGCCCGTTTCATGACAACATAATAATAATAAAATTTAGAGTGCTCAAGTCAGAAATATTCGAATTTTGTATATATCAGAAATTATATCTTTAAAAACGTTGTTTTGCACACAAAAGAGAATTGCTTTTGTAATAATTTTGTTATATTTATACCCTGAACTGATTAAAAGTGCCGGGCAATTATGACTTAATCATACATGTTTGCCGTGTAAAGATGTGCATGACGAACACGACTCAGGCCGTGGCCTTCATAGAAGTTCGCATATGTCTTCTTTTTTGTTTGTTATTTACGTTTTCACACACCTTTTATTTCCCTTTTCCATTTTGAATGGGTGCATGCTAAAAAACTGATACAGAAGTTGAGTCAATTAAATATTTTATTATTGTGATCCGATTACATTGAGGTGATTAATGCTGCATTTTTACAGGTAAAAGATCGCTCCACATGATAAGTAAGTTTCCATAAAGATGTATATGTATATATGTATGTATATATAAAGGTGGCGATCATAGATATACTAAGTTATAAAACAGACAAAGAATTTGTTAGTTTTATTTAGTTGGATTTATATAAATGCACCGACTAACCGTGAGTAATCACAATGACAGCAATGACAAAGGCCCCCACAAATATGTTGATCCCTATGCACAGGGCCTTGTTATCCTTGTATGTCAACATTTTGTGCACTTGTCACGTTATTAACTGGAAAGATCGCCGACTGAGACACCGTCCGCTTGTGTAGACAATCAAAATGCAATTGACTGGCTAGCGGTTATGCGTTGAAGCTAATCAAGCACGTTGCGATCAAGAATAAACATCGGCATGCCGACGATTTAACGCCCTACAATAAATTTGACTCAGAAGTGCTTTCATAGAAACGGTTCATTGCCCTCCTACAGCAGGCAGATAGATAGCTGTAAGATGTAATAAACCTTTGCTGTAATTAATGTAAAAAAAGTTTTTCCTACAAATAACAACTTTTCGGACGTTTCATATATAGATATTAATTAGCATATAAATTATAAGTCTCGTGTTTTAAAAACCATATAGTTCTTCACACAAATATCTACTTTTCAACCGATCATTTCTATGGCAGCTATATGATATAGTGGTCCGATCAGGTCGCAAAAGGCAAAATATGTACTGTCTATAACAAAAAGTCGGACCAATGTAAAGTTACATGAGGATAGCCTTAGAACTGAGCTAACCTAAAAATTAACAGATAGACAAATGGACATGACTTAATGGACACGGCAGATCAAGAATATATATATACTTTATTATCGTAAATTCTCCTTCTATGCGTTGCATATTTAGTGACTAAATTATAAGACCCGCTACAAGCGCATAAAAAGAGAGAGGGACAGTGAGAGAGAGAGAGAGAAAGAGGGAATTCATTGTAAAACAAGTTACTCATAATCAAATGCACAGTGGCTCAAAGCTTTTGTCGACCTGCGCTTATTAAAAAACGTTCAGAAGCTCTAATACCTAAACTGATAACTAATAACTAAACTAAGAATATATACACATAGATACTTTATTATGCTACTATATATAATATGCTTTGGGTTTTTTTGCATTGCTCTAAACTTTTTGTGCAAAAAAGACAAATTTTTAGAATTTTGTTATGTTATGGCCAACATCAACTATATATATTGATGGTAAAGCGCATGTTGGTTTCTTTTGAGTAAATATTTCATTAGCCGTGCATATACCCCGAGTAGAAAAGACTTTGGTCTCGCCTATTCTCCATTTATTGTACCTTTATCAATTTGTTTTTAGGAATCAATAGGCGCAATGTTTGGATGAACAGATGGCAGTGCGCGATTGGATGATACCCGGAACTTCATGCTAAGATACCTTTACACATATAGATTCATGAAATATCAATAATGATATCAATTTACGCTGCAGCTATGCATATCTTCCCTTGCCCTTGATCTTTATAACAAATTTTAAGCAGCACATACACAAAGCTCTGCAGACGATAAAACTGCAATTGCAATTCTTTATATAATAAAAAGACGAGCATTTGAATGTGTATATGAAAATTTCTTGTGCTTTGCGCTTGCAGCCACGTGGCTTGCCAATATAACCATACGTTTTCTATCATTACTTTTATGTCTCTTTACCGATTTTGATCAAATTTTCAACAGTAAATCTTTTTGTGGTATTGAATAATCGTATATTCACAAATATACAGGATTTTGATATTAATTTTTATCGATCGTTTGGAAAAGAAACAAGTTATTGATTATCGGAAACAAACTCGTACTAAGCGGCTACTAGAAGGTCCTACGTTCAAGATTTCAGGTTTCTAGTTCTTATAGTTTCTGAGATCGATGCGTACATACATAACCCGACTTTTTCTTTAATAACTTTTATGTTTACTAACCGATCTGGATGATATACTCAACAGTAAATCCTTTTGTGCTATAGAATATTCGTATATTCACAAATAGACCGGATTTCGATATTGATTTTTATCTCTTGTTTGGAAAAGGAACAAGTTATTGATATATGTATATACTTTATGTGGTCGGAGATGCTTCCTTCTGTTTGTTACATACATGTGCACAAAACCAATATACCCGCTTAACCAATTTTAAATGTGTTCAGTGTACAAAAACATTCAAAAACTAAAGAATTCCTCACGCAGAGCAACAAAGAATGCAACGCATATTTAGATCAAATGTGACGTCAGACCTTGCGCGTGTTGCAAGTGAAATTCTTGTTGTTCAGCACTTTCAATGGATTTTATTACATAAAAATGTTAACAAAAATAAAAATATAATTAACTAAACTTATGATTGGCAGCACGGGTTTAACTAATGGAGGGGCACTATGCAGATCTCCATGCGGCTGTTGCCACCCCATAAATTGACCTGTCTGCTCTTCACTTCCAATTGAATGCTAAATGTGTCCACCAGTGGACATCGCACAGCTTTCGTCATGTCCACTTTGCCGTTGATCACGTCTTCCAGCTGGCCACGCAGCGCGACTGGGGCCAGCACGCTGAACTTGAGATTGAGCTTGGGACAACGGGCCGACAGGGTCTGCTCCTTGAGGCCATAGACGTAGACGCTGTTGCCAATTTCTATGAAGCGGCTGTGTTGGAAGGCAAATAACAAATCGGTTCACTTAACTGGATTTAGCTGAGTTGCATGCAAGTTACCTCACATTACTTTTGGACTTGTCAAAAACCAACAGCTCAGCGATAATGGTCAAAAAGTCGATGAGTTTCTCTTCCTCGCTGGCAATTGTCTCCTTCTCACGGAAGCCAAAATGTACGCCCAACACCTCCAGCTGCAGCTGCCAGTGCATCAGGTTCATGGCCGAGCTGACAACGCGAAATTTGCGAAATTGCTGAGAAATCCAAAAATAGATTGTTCAAAATGTGAATGCGTGCAGCGCATGATAAGTTAAACTCTACCCACTCTCAAGAGATTCAGGAGCGTCATGGTTTGGACCAGCCGACGCTGATTTAGTCGTATGCGGGCTGCGGCACCCTTTGGCCACTCGGCTGGCGTCCACTCCAGATTGTGATAGAACTCGTGCAGAAACTGATGCATCTGTGTGACATCGATGTCCTCCTCGCCAGTCGTCAGTTGCTTGTAAAATTGCATCAGTTTGCCGGTAAATATTGCATCATAGCCGGAGTTGATGAAGTAATCGGTGGACTGTGCCAGCACCTGCTCACAAAAGTGGATATAGTTAGTGTGGAACTCTCTCTCTCTCTCTCTCTCTCTCTCTCTCTCTGTCTCTTGCTCAATCTCTTACCTGCATCACAAAGTGCCTCATGTTTTGGTCATCGTTTCCATTCTGTTGGCGCAAATGAAAGTTGGCAAACGATTTGTAGCTGTGCAACATGCAGTCCGAGTGCTCAACTTTTAATTGATTGGAGGCATGACGCAATATATGCTGTTTATCGGGATCTATTTTCGATATGATTAGATGCAACGGACCAAGTGGCAAGTCCATTAGTTCCACTTGCTGCAGCTGCTCCAGTTTTGGGCGCTTTGCACACGTGGGTCCATCTCCGCCAGCTCCGACAACTGATGCAGAAGATGCTCCTTTCCGTTTTCTGGGCGCCATTTGTCTTGTATAAAAAGGTTGAAAGTGTTATGTGAAAAACTCGCCAAACTCTATCAACTCGTGTGGTTCTATTAACGAGAATTTATTAATTGATCTGCCACAAAATTTTCGCCTGTTTGAATGTGTATTAAAGAAAGTGGCCTACTTAGGTTTCCTTTTTCTTTGGGCTTTTATTAAATTTAATTTAATTTACAATCAATTAAATAAACTGTTAATTTCAAATACATATGTATATTATTATTTTATATATATATATATTATTAAAAATTGCTTTTCATAATTTGTTAAACAAATGCCCCATAGTTACTTCAGTTATAACCATTTACAATATCTAAAAGTAGAGCACCTTAAAATTGATTGAAAACAGGCAATTGCACTGTTAAACGATTGTTAAATATTCATTTTACATTTTACTGTTAAATTACTGTTAAATATTCTCTTTAGCTGAGCATTAGTTCTATACACAGTTAAACGCTAGATTAAATTCTTTATAAAAAAAGGCCTGCTAATTGGTCATTGAGTTTAGTTAAGAGGTGCATATTTTTAAGTAAAACGTTTCAACGTTTTTACTTCTTTTTAAATGTTTATAACAAATTCCAAATCGTTATTTGTTTTAACAGAAATGCAAAATACTTTGAATGTACAATAAGTAGTTCGAGCTTTTAAATCTTAGGCAAAGAAATTTAAACAATGGACGCACTCAGCAGAGAATTCTGATGAACGAACCGATTACGAGTTCCGATTAATGATACAAAACTCAAATCTCTCAAGTATTATTCATCAAAATTCTCTTCGCCAATAGCTCGCATAATATTTGTGACATATTTAGCTACAACTATCGAGCAAAAACTTTGTTCTTGGTTCCTTTCGTTACATTTCAGGAATTTCATGTAACTCAAGTTGTTAAATATAGGGTTTCTATAAGTACATAGCATGTCAGAGGCAAGTGAAAGTTACATATAATACAGGACAATAGCACTTGAAACATGCTGTCAAAATATACGAATAAACTTGAATTAATACAAAAGGCAAACTTGTATTGCCAATCAAAATGCGATGTTGACAACAATTGTCTCGAGTGATTGGCAAAATTTGCATTCATACAAAATACTTGACAATGACAATTGGCATACAACATAACAACAAATAAATGAATTAATTAAAAATGTTAACATTTGCCGTCGAGTGCTCAATGAGTCGACACCTAACACGATTTGCGAATATTCATGCTTGTACTTGTTTATAAATTAACATTAAAGATTATGAATAATATTTGACTTAAATACTATGCAAATAACTGCACATAACTAAAAAACCAGAACTAACTGACAGATGTCTGTATATGTATGGGTGTGTGTGTGTTGCGGTCCAGCTGTTTCGTCACCTTAGGGCTTATCGAAGCCCGCAAAATCGGAGGATTCGGAATCATCATCGTCCCGTTCGACGCCTATGCAATGAATGCCCGTGCGCAGCATGGGCGTACCCTTGCCTTTGCCCAGAACACGCGCCGCGATGACCAGCTGCAGCAGCTCCTTGGAATTGTTCGAGTTGACAATGTGGAGAACCTCGCGCAACAGTTTCTCCTTGTACGCAAAGAACTCGATTTTCATCTCATAGAAATCGTGCTCATCGTGCTTGGTGCCCGTGAACTCCGTGATCCGGCAATGCAGATTCGGTGTGGCGCTCACATCCGGCACAAACTTGGTGCCCGGCGCGCCCGTGTTGCCAAACAGACTGACCGGCAAATTCAGATCAATCAGATAGCGATGATTGATCTGCAGAAAGCCCAGACTGACGGCAATCGTATCGCCCGACCGCTGATACGTAACACAGCTGTCCGAGCCAAAGTCATCAGTCTTCAGGGTTGTCGCATCAAAGTGCACGTGATGATCTGCAAAAGAAGAGTGAATTGTTTTGAATAAACTTTCAATAAGTAGCTGCAATTGCATGCGTTTAATCGGGCAAGCTCGCTTTGTAAATACCCCTCAAGCAGCACACAATTGCACTTGGCAACAGGCAACAGTCATAAGTCTTACTCATACTTGCAATGACAAATCTTGATAAACTCCAAGCATTACACATATACTTTATTGCGTGCTTGAACAGCTTGCGAATTATAAACTTTTTTTTTACTCTGATTTCAAAGCCTGGCTGTTTATGTGACTTAAAGCTGTCGATTTAGGATTTATCTCTTGATGGACATATAATTTAGGTCTACTTTAAGCTTTACAACAATTCAGTGTGCCTGACTTGAAGATACCCTGTACCTTAAACATACATAGATTCTTATTTATAGCGCTGCTTTTTGGCGCATTTCTTTGCTGTCAGTTTTTACTGTTTCGCACTTTGGAACATACATTTTTGTATATATTTTTTGTGTTTATTGTACGATCGCGTTGATATTTTAAGTACATCAATATTTAATTGAAATATTTGCATATAGCAAACATTAAAGATTTATTTATAAATATTTTAAAAAATTTTCTGATTCTAAAATTTTAAACTTGATCTTAGCTAGCTTACTTTAATGTGTATACCTAAATGTGAGGCTGTTTACCAAATTTGATTTGTTGGTCTATTGATAAGCAGACTGACATGGGACATGGGACATGGGATATGGGATATGGGATATGGGATATGGGATATGGGATATGGGATATGGGATATGGGATATGGGATATGGGATATGGGATATGGGATATGGGATATGGGATATGGGATATGGGATATGGGATATGGGATATGGGATATGGGATATGGGATATGGGATATGGGATATGGGATATGGGATATGGGACATGGGACATGGGATATGGGATATGGGATGTAAGATGTTCAACCTATTCAATTTGTACAGCTTTAGGGAGTTTATGTACCCCATTAATCCAGTTAAAAGGCTATTTTTGAGTTGTCTGCAAACCTTGAATATCTTCTCATCTCCACAAGCGTTAGAAAATATCTTCAAATTTTAAAAATGGTCTGGTAAATGGATGTCAAAAATCGAAGTATTCATGCCATGCTACATAAATCCTTCCCCACAAATCAAGCAGAAGCCCAACTATAAAACAACAGCCATAAACACACAGTTTGAATGCCACTGCGAGTGGCTTTACAGTTTGAGAGTCACTCAATTTGCAACTAGCTATCGCATTCAATACAGAAAACAGAGCACAGAGCAATTATTTTGTAGTTAAAATTTGTTGACTGCACCGCACGAGGAAAAACGCCCGGCGTTGCCAGGCAGCTGCTTGCATCTGGCATCGTGTCGTCTTCGTAATTTGCATATTTGCCACCGACAAACATAATTAATTTGCATTTGAACTTGTGGCCAAAATCAATGGCAGGTGAGAGCCGCAAAAAGTGTACACAAACACACACACACAGATCTTTATATATGTATATAGCCAGGCAGCTTTACTTATTTAGCTTGTGCCAATAAAGATAGCTGAATAAATAAATAAACAAACAAAAAAAAAGCCAACGTCTGTGGGGCAAACACACGCCGCTGTGGTTGGCAATAAAGTAAACTTCCACAATTCCGCCGACGACGACGACGACGAGCAAGATGATGATGTTTCATATGATGATTAAGATGATGATGATGACGCTGAGGAAATTGCGTGTAAGCGCGCAATTAAACGCGGCGCTCCACTTTGTAGAAGGCGGCGCGCAGCAATTGGCAGCAAAGTCTTCCGGTTTCGGATTCATTTACTTGGAGCCAAGGCCGCGCGGATTGCTCAGGTTGCTCTCGAGGGCTTAAATTGCATTAAAATTGGGTCAATTGGGACCAAAACGTGTACACGCCAAGGACTGGCTGCCTCTGCTGCGCAGCGTCTGGCGAGGAATTTAATTCATAATAAAATACAAATCAGCTTTTAATTGAATTAAAAAAACAAAAAACATAACGCAGCTGAACCTGACTATATATTATATATATATTTATATCTAATCGCGAATCTAAGTTAACAAACCCATTTACAGCCCGCTAATGTGTTCATGTGCTTGCGCTTGTTTTACAATTTAATTAGCAACATTTTCTTTTTACGAGTCTTATGCAAATATTTATATAAAACTCCGACGGCCCATTCACAAGTGCCGTTTTTTCTTTACACATCGATCGGTTGACGTAGCCAACAAAAAAAAAAAAAAATTCATGGTTCTTAAACTTGGCTATAAATAGCCGTTTCTCGTGTTGGCAAGTCGAAAACCTGCGACAAGCAGCAAAACTGGGGGAAAGCTCTTGCAGCTAATTGTAGAAAAATTTCAACATATTCTAGCATAAATTGTTTATACGACACATTATTTATTATGTATTAATATTTATCAAAATATAATTATTTATAAATATATCTGTGAATTGTATGCAAATATTATTTACAATCTTATTTATTTTGTTATATGGAAAGTTATGTGTTAGGAAAACCTCAAACTACAATTAACATCTGTGGCTTTTTATAGTCATGCGGAGGGTTTTACACGTTTATCACGACTTGTGGTATACATTAAAAAGAAAACAACGCCGATCTCTTATATGATACTTATATTCTTGATGTGTATCATAGGAAGTATCGCTAGAAAACTAGGTTTTCTTTACAAGTATATTGCTTTTCAGATACTCTAACTAAGCTTTGCCAATAAATCTTATAACACTCAGAAATCGTATAGCTGCCACGTAACTTGGATTTAAAAGCTATGCGATCTTATCTAAGTCAGACTACCATTTCATATGAAAAGAATGCGTATAAAAAAACAGATCTGATAAGATTTGGGAACAACATATTTATGTAATATAGCTACACGATTTTATGGGCATAAAAAAAACATAAGATTTATCAATTGCAGATTGATTTAAATGTAGCATTAAGATCTTATTAAAATCCGATTACAATTTCATGTCGAAAGAACAGGTATTATATGGAATGAATGGGTATAGAAAGGACACATCAGATAAGATATATTAAAAGGCGATTTATACGGCTATACGATCTGATTAAGATCGGACTACAATATCATAAAAAAGGAAAATAGGTATACAAAATGGGTATAAAATAGTTACACGATCTTTTCAATGTTGGTCTACTATATCCTATGGAAAGAATAGGTTATATAAATATAGTCATACAATCTTATCAAAATCAGACTACGATATTATATGGAAAGAATAGGTATAATTAAAAAAAACTAATCAGATAAAAAACCGATTTATACAATTGAATATGGAAAGAATAGGTATAAATAGAAAAAAATAACAAATCCGATAAGATTTATGAATAACATATTTGTATAGATATAGTTCTCATAGGAACGATCATTCACAAATTGTCGCCAAGTATGAAAATATAAACTGGCCAGAGCATATTATTTTCAAAGTTAGCCCTTTTTATACTCTTATATCTTATAAAGTTTTATTTTTCATATCTCTGGGCTGATGCACATTTATTTCCGCACATTTTAGGCACATTTCATTTGTCAGTTTTATTTGTCGTGATAAGCGCGGCGCATGAACACACACCTGTTACCGCGTCACACATAAATATGTATATTTGTTTTTATAAAATATATTTATTTGGCCTTTCTATATATATATATATAAATGAATATATACGTATGCTACAAGTCAGAGGAATGTCTGCGCGAAAACAATTCGTTTCTTTTGGCCGATCGCCCGCTCAGCAAAGACATCTCACATATATATATATATAAATATGTGTAAAATGTACGACAGATTGAAATTTATTCGCTTTTAATGCGACTTTAATTTAAATAATTTACAGGAAAAGCCATTCAGCAAGTATTTTCTGCCTGCCTAATGTAAAATTGAAGCGTTTCCACGACAAAGTTTCCGAAGAAAAGAAATTAAAGGAAAAAAACGTAATCCAGCTAAATCTGCTTAAATGCGAGTCAATATTTCGGGACAGCCAAAAGACAAGTACAGCAAGTCCCCCCTCTCCGCACCCCCTCCTCGCAGAAGCCCTCATTTGCTTTTTATATAAAAGTTCTTTATATGAATTTCAATAGAAATGTCACGCTCTATGCGACTCGCCGCAATCAGCGAAGATCAAATCATAAATGTCTAGAAGAGACTCTCCAGAGAAGACGCCCTCCTCCCCCTCACCGTCCCCACACACACACACACACACACATCCCCTTCCACAATCCAGCCCAAAAATTTCTGATTCTGATTTTGCCCCAATGTTTGCCTAGTTTAAAGCTTGTCAGTCGATCAATTGATGAACATTCGCCCATTCATATAAAATGTTCAATTGCTTTGTTTGTGGGCGCCTGTTTAATTAACATAACAGCGCAGGGGGCGGGGCGGGGCGGTTTGGGGCGTGTTCTATTGCTACAGTGAAAACCTTTTGGAAACGTTTCCACATTTACACAGAGCTCGTTCCGCTCGGCTGACAGCTCAGACTCTGACGTGTGAGCAATTTTTTTTTTTTTTCATTTTAACAGACAGTCACATGTTGTTTATCGGATACTTTAGTTTATTCTATTGAGGCTCTGAGAAGACTCACCGCAACCCCCTCCTCCCCTCACCCGAAATCTTTTGAGCACGTATTTCATTTAATAATTGCTGAGGCTTGTTTAAAAACTTGCCAGGAAATTCTGTAAATTAACAAAAGCGCACGAATTAAATACGTTATTGCATAAATTAAAAATGTTATGTTATGTAAAATTTAGTTTATGCATTTAAAAAGCTCTTTGCTGAGAACTTACAACAATTTACAAATTTAAGAAATGCATTCGTAATGTTATACTGAAGAAGGTAGACGAATAAATACCCTCATCGTATTTGAACTAAGCTCAGTTTTTGTAACTAATATTAGTCCATGTGCTTACATTAGCTCAAAATATTTGAACACAGTTTAATATACTTATTTTAGCTGAGCTCACATTTTTAGTATATTTGCAAGCATTACCCGTTTTAGCGTGGTTTAGGTGTTCATTTTCACTTTTTTTTTAATTTGTTCAAACACTTCCACTTTTTTTTCACCCATGCGTGCGGAAATTGTTTACTTTCTTTGTTAAGCTTGACTACTGTACAAATATGCAGCTATCTAGCTTTTCATCAATCAGTCAGTCGCTCAATCAGTCAGTCAGAACAAATAGTTTTACAAATATTCATGTATAATTAACAAGCTGACTTTTTGTCATTATAAAAATTATTATTTATTATGCCTTTGATTATATTCTTTGATAACTACGCTTATTTCCAATGATCAAATATAACTTATAGGAGTTTTTACTTTACTATAGAAGTATAAGTATATAAGTATAAGTATATATATATATATATATATATATATATATATATATATATATATATATATATGTACAATATACAGTATAAGTAATCGTCAATAATATTAGATATTAAAATTATTATCAACCGTGCTATTTAAAACCTTGAATATGTTCTTTGCTAAATACGCTTATTTCCAAAGATCAACTATAACCTTTAGGAGTTTTTACTGTACTATACATATATATATGATGATATATGTATGATATACACAACTGATATCTACAATAAATATTGTGTGTAATCGTTAATAATTGAAATCGAAATTGAAATTGTTCAGTGCCACAATTTGTCGTCTTTTGCCGTCTCTTTTGACTGCTCGGAGCTGGTTGTGATGTCATGTGGAATGGGCAATGGAGAAATTAGGCAACAGCGACCATAAATAGCCACCCAAATATATATCTGATACATGCCCTCCCCAACAACTGACTGACTGGCTGTTGCCACACACCCCCCCCCCCCCGCTGTTCCCCTCCCGTTGGAGGTTGCGCCTGCTAAAAACACAAAACTGGCCGAAATGCAAGTGTTACACATGTGTTTTGCGAATCAAAACAATTGTCAAGGTGTCGCGAGACATCTATCAATCAAAACACCCTCGTGCCAGAGAGGTCAGACAGACAATTGCATCTGATATTATACCGAAATACACTTAGAGAAAAATATCATTTCAAATAGTAAAACGACTGGCATAGAAATCGAACATAAATAATCAAAGTCTATTTAATTAAATTAATAATTAATCTAGATGCTTAGGCTGATTATAGTCGAAGATAAAGAAAAAAAAAAGCATAAAGTAAAAAATACTTAAAACTAGAATTAGCACGCTCAAAAATTTCATAGATTGAGTTTTGTGTGAGAATTTCAGACTATAAATAGTACTTCATATACAAATTTAATGCTCAAGGTTAACACGTTTTTTGTTTTTTACCTTATTCAAATTTTTTCTGCATTATTTAGATTTGTTTTACTTGTTAAGCGATCTTTTAACCCCTTCAACCCGAGTTCGAAACTTATTTCAAGCATTTTCGTGCTCATTTCTAGTAGATCACGCTTCTCTCTTTTTCTTTGCTTTTATATTCAGATTTCTCTTTTATTTCGATTTCTTTCACGTGCTTAAAGATTTTCCTTTGACTGATTTTTAGCAATTCAAGTTCTTGTATATTTAGTGTACCTAATTGAAATGTAGTGCGACTTTTTCTTGCTGTGCACTCGATTTGAGCACAAAATTGTTGGCATTTTCGCTGAGTGTATGTGTGCATAACCGAAGGGAAGCACTCTCGAGGCAGCCACCCATTGCAACAACAATGTGCCACTATAAATAGTCGTCAGCTATTACAGATGCATGCAAACATATATATGTAAATGGATATGTATGTATGTGTATGGGTGCATGTATGTGCAACAATAAAACATTTGTTGACAGGCCGCGCATTGTGCAATTTAATTAAAATCTTGAACGGGCGCCTCTAGGGGGCCCATTAGAAGGCGTCTCAGTTGGCAAATCGAGGTGATAATTGGCTTGATCAGGTTTCAGACCAGACTAGACACATACATTCCCATATGCACAGAGTGTGTGTGGGTTCTCAAGCAAATGAACGGATTGGGCATTTGCACAACGGTTTTCATTTCGCACGGCTATAAAAAATTCATAATTGCAGCTGTTGTTTGTGGCCCGTAATTCATTACCGCCATAAATTAGAAAATTGAAAATAGAAATTGAAATAGTCAACAGCAACTAATCTGAGGCGACACTTTTCGAGCTCAGCAAAACGTTTAACTAAAACAAAAGTGAGTGATCGACTTCTAGATGCTCCGCAAACAGTTTAGAGTACATATATATTCTTACTTATATGAAGCCTCAAGGTGCGCCTTACTATGGATAATTTATTTATCGAATTTAGGAAGCAGAGTGCACATAGATAGTTATCTGTGTTAGCTATATAAGAAACTGCATTCCAAAGTTCGTGTTTGTAACGTCTACACTCTCTTGGATATGCTCTAAGAAAACAGTGGCTGAAAATCGATATTTATCGAAATCGGGGGAAGCGTGCGGAAAGGGATTCAAAGAGTTATCTGTGTAAGCCATAAGAGAAGCTGCATGGAAAAGTTGCTCTCCACGAGATGCTCCAAACAAATTGGCTGAAAATCGATATTTATCTTACTTAGAGAAACGTGTTATCGATAAGCTTGGAACATGCACTCTAGTTTTTAAGAGCGAGGTTTTTATACGACGAAGAGACAAATAAGGCAAGATCAACTTGACTTTTTATGGTGATCAAGAATGGCTGCCACCTTTTACATAAGAAAGCTTTTGCATGACGTTATTTTTAATTCATGTTCAATCGTTACAGGGTATTATTAAAATGGCATAACTGACTGATGCAGCTGTCCACTTATAAATCAATCGATTTTTTTTTTATTAATTCTGAATAAATATGTTAAAATAAACATGTTTATATATAAATATGTGAATAATTATTTATATAAGCTTATGTATGCAACTTTATAATCGGGATGGGCGAGCTCAGTCTTGCGACAATTTCTAATGAATACATTTAACAATAATTATTAATTTGTATACCCTTTTTCAAAACGTTCGAGTAGGTTTAGTTTTATGAATAGATTTTAGCAGGCGCCAAACCAAATATAATATAAACTGTATAAAAATAGACTAAATATAATATTGATTATTATTTAGTATGGTACAAATATAGGATATATATCTATTCTGTCTGCTGGGGTATTTAATTGTCGACACGTTTTCAAAGTTGTTAACAACAATTTTGATTAAGTGTTTGCCGAGGGTTTTTTTTGTTAGCTTCTGGTAAATTGATAAGCTAACGGGGTACGTCAGACAGTTCTGATAAGCGGGCAAAAAAAAAATGTGACCATCTTGTAATTGGACAGAACCCCCGCCCCTCCCACGTAACACAACACACACACACACACACACACACACACAGGCGCAAAATGGAAACTAAGTGCAGCTTATATTGAAAATTGGCTTAAACATGACCATGAACAAATATTATGTTTGATAAAGCAAGACAAGACGAGGCCAACAATAGTTAGGGGTAAAATGTAGGCGTGGAAAGCGTCAAAACTGTCGATATTTTGATTTAGATTTTGCACTTCCGGTGCGCAAATCACAATAGACAATAACAACAAAACTGTCAAGGCAACCACAAGAGTAGGCCCTGGGTGGGAGAGGGGGGGCTGGGGAGATTCCAAACATAACTAGCTGCAACACACACGCACACACACACCCACCCGTTACCTCTATTTAATTCAAATTGGGCTTCAACTATTGCCGGCCGCCTGCACTACTGAATTTTCGCATGTAAATGGAAAGGGCACGGCGAAGGTAAACAATAAACAAAAAAAAAAAAGGTTGCTTACCCGTCGGTTGATCGGCAACTTCTGACATATTTACAGCCGTTGGTGGTAAATGCTAGACGCTGATTGTCAATTTTAATTTGAAAAAAAAAGTGTACTTTCACACACAAATTGCTAGAAAGACGTATTTCCTTTAATCTGTTTTGCAATTGTTATTTAATTGGCGTGCAACACAGACGCGAACGACGCTAAACAATAGAACAAACTGAGCAAGTGTGACCAGTTGGATGTTACTCATACAATACATAAGAACATTAAATATCGATATGGGATGTTCATCACTTGCATATCGGACATGTTGGTATTTTAGTGCTGCCTATCGAATATACAGTGCTGCCAGACTTGCAACCCTGTACAGAGTTGCATTGCTTGTTGTTCATCGAGAGTCGCAAAATGGTGGCTTCTGCTATACGCGGAGAAATTTTGTTGTACCATTAAGAACTAAAAAAAATACGCATTTGTGCTAATAATATTTAGTAAAATTATAGTGCAAAACTTTCACTTGCCCGTGTCGCTGCAGTACGCGTGTGAAAGTGTACACAAATTGCGTATCAAAGTCAGCGAAAATTGTTCCAAAATCTCCGCAGCAATAAAAAAAAACGCAAGGCAAGCGAAGTGCGTGAGTGTGTGTGTGTGTATGTTTGTATGCGCGTGTAAGTGCTTGTGCATGTGTATGGCGAGCGTTTGCGTGTGTGTGTGTGCGCAAAGTGTATGCAAAAAAGAAGAAGACAAAACAGAAGAGCATTAAAAAACGTATTGTTGGGCTGCCTTCTGTAGCCCCCACTGATAAGTTTAACGCGCACACACAGGGACAACAACAACAGCAAAGACAAAAATTTACAAGTCTCTAAACGTAAGCAACAACTACAACAAGTGTGCAAAAATTAATTATTATTTAAGTGTGTCACTAATTTCATTTCAAGCGTCCGAATCGCAGTCGACGTCGTCGTCGTCGTAATGCGCAGCGTAGAAATCATTAAAATTTATTAGTGAAAAACGTATGAAGGCGTCGCAGTCACTGTCGCTGTCAACGGCAACGTCGACGTCGTTTTTAGTTGGCGTCGGCGCTGCAACTGTGTTTGCACACAAAGCAAAGTGAAAAAGCCAGAGCGGGCAGAGGCGGCGGGCAAAGGCGCAGACGACGATGACGACGGCGACTTGTGAGCGTATAGTTGCACAAGGGGGGGAGCAAGGGGCCGTTTCTATTATGGACTTTTTGGGGTAGAACAATACAACGAAGACGTCAACGACGACGACGGCGATTCAAAGGCTCAACAAATTTTTGCCGAGAAGGAATCACAAAGCGCAGCAGCAGCAGCAGCGACGGTAGCGTCACCCACCACCAACGCAGCGGCTGCTGCGGCCACCCTTCAAATGACAAGCTGCACGCCCACCCGCTGCCCGCTGCCTGCTCGCTTGTCCGATGCTGCCGCTGCTGCTGCTGATGCCGATGCTTTAACTTTGCTTTGTTGCTTTTTCGCTGACGTTGGCTGAAAAATATTTGTTGTTGTGTGGCTCGCGCCTTTTTTATACACTGTTCGCAAAGTGAAAGAAGGGTATATGGCGCTTTGTTATTTCCGTATGTTTAGCCAGCGACTTTAAACTGGGAGTAAAGATTGCTATGCCACGCCCACTAGCAGCTGCTCCGCCGCCTAAACGTAAAACCTATCATTTTCCATATCACCGTTTGAAAGCCATTGCCTTCGGCTAACAGTTTTAGAGTAACTATCTTCTTCATTTTTTTTCTTTCAACAGAGAATTGTGCAGTCGGTTGCGCTCGGCATTCTTGTTTTACGATTTTGCAATTGTGTGCTATTTTTCTTGTTTTTTTGCAATCTGCTACCTCGACTTGATCTTCTTCTTCTCCTCCTTCTGCATAACCATAATCATCAGCTCACCTACGTCATTTCTTCGTTTCCAGCTGTGCGAGTGCAAATTAACCAAAATCTACATTTCCGGCGCGCCTGTCCCCACCCCACTCCCCGTCGCTTCAGGAACAACAGCATCAACACAGAATATCGCTTGCTCGCTCGCACGCACGCACGCACAATTGGCAACCGGCAGCGTTACCGTTACCGTTAGCGGGCCAAGCGGGAGCCAGAGCCAGAGTCACCCGGTTTCGAGTTCGAGCTGCTTGCTGGGAAGGCCTCACACACACGTTTTTACACACATCTTCACTGGATTCATGGTGAGTTGCCCGCCACGAACAGCTGTTGAACTAGGCATATATTTAATTATTATTATTTGTTTGCTTAACACACACAAACGTTCGCACGCACACACACACTCACTCACTATATTTGCCGCCGGCTCATGTGTCATTCTCTCTTGCTGCCCCAGGGGCCAGGCAGATTCCCAGCTCTCTTTTTCGGTTCATGAACTATTGAACTACATACATATATATGTGTGTGTGTGTGTGTGTGTGTGCAGGGAAATGCGACAGGGAGGGGCTATAGCCCGCTGTGATAGACGAGCAAATTGCCAGGCTCACTCACTGCATCGTAAACTAATTAGGCAAAGTGCTTCAAGTGCCAAAGCATACACACGAAACACACACTCATACACGCACACACTTATAAATTCAATGGAAGTTTTATAAACTAGAAAACAGAATTTGTAAAATGATCCGGGTATTGTTTCTTTTTACATTGGATGATATCCAGTAAAAGTATCTCAAAAATTGAATCATTGAAAGGTGCGTCAGGACTTAAAACTGAAAACCTTTTCATTATCAAAGAGAAAACGGCTAAGGTTTTATAAATGAACTAGTTCCCAACATTTTCCTTGGTTGCGCTTCTTGAGTCTTTGCCAGAATTGGATCAAAATATTAAATAACAGGAATATATTAAGACCTAGAAATATTAGAGTAAAGAAGGGGTTCCTCTGTTTCTCTCTCGATCTTTGCGAGAATAAGATTATAAATAAACAGGAATATAGTAAGATTTAGATAAGTTGCAGATAAGAAGAGTTTCCTGTTTTTCCAGCCTTGACAATCCTTTAAGCAGGCATCATTCCATACAAAACAATTAACGGACCACTACAGAGAGTTGTCACTGTATCATTAACTGTTTATTGTATTCATAGAACTGAACATATTGTAAATTGTTATTCGCACAGTGAAAGACGTAAAGCTATTTACTGAGGCAGTAGTTCAAGTTCACGCAACTGTGATTCCAGTTCACGCAACTGTGATTCCAGTTCACGGCGTTGCTTGCCATGTTGTTTTGCGGAGCTGTTGCATGTTCCGGTGCCCGGGCTCGGAGTCAAGTCGAGTCGAGCTGTCAGAGCGTAACATCTACAAGCTGTCAATTAGTTTGCGCGTTGTTCGCTGATTAATTGCCGACTGGTCGATAACTTGGTGCTAACCATAATTAAAATGCAAACAAATCTATTTATTTAATGGCCATTCAATAAACTAATGTACAGTGAAAGCTCTCTTGAGAGAACTATTCAGCTGGTTCAAGTTGTGTAGTTCCCTTAGCCCTGGACTTTAAGTTCTTCCTCGACAAATCCGACTTCGCATATAGCTCGTTATACCCCACTTTCAATTCAAGATATTATATTTTTTCTCATGAATCCAGTTACTTTAATCTGTCTTTCCACGAAAATATTTGAATAAATTCGCTGGAAATTTTCATTATGCATTCCAGCTTATCTCAGCCGGAATAAAAACCTGCTGGCATATTTCTATTAGTCAAAACTAGGGGCTTATCTCTGCGCGCGACATCCACAAAGGGGTTGTGGCAGGGGCTGTAAAAGGCTGCCTGATTACGGGGGAATAAAACGTGAAGTGTTTAATTAATAAATAACGTGCTAATAATGCATTTAATAAAAACAAAAGCGAACTTGAAGCGCGTTAATGCCCCGAGCGGAAACTGACGACCCCACAAAAGCAACAACAAAAACTGTTGAGAAATGCCGCCCACGCCCACAGCCACGCCCACGCCCACTGATGTGGTTTGCCCCATGATGATTTTGTTGATGATAATATTGGGTGGGGTTGCGGGGGGTTAATGGGGGGCTACGGCCTTTGATGTCGATTCCGTGTGCTTTCATATTTTATTATTAGTCATTTGGCTTATTTATAAGGCGCTGTTAAAGTTTACGTTTACGTTTACGTTTTATTAATCTGTTTGGTGTGCTTTTAATTTATAATTGTCGCTTATCTGATTGAAAAAGCAAGACACTTGGACTCAAGTGTCGATTTATTGCCACCGATTAGAAATTGTGCCGTCAAACACCCACACATCCACACATCACACACACACACACACACACACACACACACACCCACACATCCACACATCACACACACACACACACACACACATTTGTGTAAACAAACAGAATGTATATGCATATGTATACCTATTCCATATTAAATCATTTTATAAACTTTGAGGGCGCATCCCCCCCCCCCCCCCCCCCCCTAAGCAAAAGCTAAACAAAGTACAAAGTAAATAATATTGCTCAAGAATTATGACACAGTTTTTAATTGAAGTTTTACACCACGCGTGATTTTAATTTGGGAATAATTCAATCTTATTTTTTCATGGAATAAATAAAAATGAATTGATTTGTAAAATTCGGGATTTGTTAAACACCATATTTCAGTGTTGAAAACCCTTTAAACGAAATCTCACAAATCTGTTATCATGTTTATAAATAAATTGCTGTTTTTTATCCGACGCAAAACACATTTTAAACCAGAAAAAATATATATTTATAATAATCCCCTTTTGGGAAAGTACAGTTTATTTATAGTCTGAAAAAAATAAGAGCTTTTTTGTTTCTCTCTCTTTTACTCTGCATCTCGCATGCCAAACAATTCCAGCTACGTGCTACTCCATTAGCGATAAGATAATTAACACACAAAGCGCCTATTAAATCTATATATTCATTTATTTACGTATAAAGTCAAATAATTAAGCGCAGGTTAATCGGTGTAAAATCAATGAACCAATGGGAATATAATGTAGAAACGTGTTTAACAAAAAAATTAACAATATCAACAATGAATTCACATAAATCTTTGGCATTGTGTGTAATTCGATTATAGAAAGAGAGGTAGACCGAGAGAGGGAGAGGGAGAGAACGGCCACAGCAACAACAAGAACAACAACAACTTCACATGCAAAACGCTCATTTACATTATGCCAGACACAAATTCTCTGACACTCGTGTTGCCGTACAACAACAAACAATGACGACAGCGCCATAAACACTTGAAAAGGTCCAACAACAATAACAACAAAATCAACAAGAACAACAACTATAACAAGAAGAGCTAGAAGAGAAGAAAGGGCAAGCGGTCTCCTTTTACATGCCCTTGTTCTCCTTTATGTCTACCCTTCACTCTTTGTGGGCCCTTCCGTTTTGGGCAAACGGGCGACATAAGTAACACGAAACAATTTCCAAATGAAGCGCGGATAAGCCGCAAAATCCTTAAAATACTCGATAAAATTACATAAAACTAATCGCACAAGCACACGCACACAGGCAAGCACACATACACACAGTGGGACAGAGACAGAGACGGAGAGAGAGTCCGAGAGCAAGTAAGACAGCATTCGAATTGGCTGTATGACTTGCCTGTCTGCGATGGATGGGTCGCCGTTAGAGCGGCAGACGCGGGTCGACAGACATGAAGAGAATGATGAAGGTATCTACACCGACAATCTGTTTAACAACTTCATGAGCAGCAAATCCAACAAATCGTATAAACGACAACAACAAAAACGACGACGACGACTACGACGATGGCGATGACGACAACGAAGTGAAGTTCGGCTGCACACGAGCAGCCCCAAATGATGCACAGGTTAAGAGTGTGTGGGGTGGGGCAGACAGAGAGAGAGAGAGAGAGGCGAAGTCGCAGTCGCAGTCGTTGTGGGTCGTTTATTTGGTTTCGGTTTGGCTTTTTGGAGCGCCGCATCAGTGCCTGAATAGATGCTCAATCGTTCGGTTGAATGAAGTTGAGCAGCGTATGGGAGCTTTTACATATTATGATGCGGGCGGGGAGTGGGTAGTGGGGCTGCTACTATGAATGGAGAGAATGTGGCATAATGTTCTTGTTGATGTTGAGTAATGGGTATAACAACTGTAAGCTGCCAGCACTCGAAAATCTTATACACACACACTCACGACTATTTCCATGTGGGCCCCAAAAGAAAAGAGAAATTTGTTGGTTATTTATTTAGTTTTTTTTTATCTCTGGTTGGGGCAACGAGTTGAGTGCTCTGAACGCTGTCCAATTGCCTCCTGCATTTTGACTTCTTGTTTCTTCGTTTCCGACGTTTTTTCTTTTTACTTTTTCGGGCGTCTGTTTTGATTTGTTGTGAAAATTTGGCTTTCACAACAAACTGAAACAGACACACGAATTTAGTGTAGGTATGTGTGTGCCTGTGTGTGTGTGCGTGCGTGTGTGTGACTGGCCTCGAGGCACCTTCTTTGGGTGCCTACAAACATTTAATGGGGTTTCCGCACTTGACACACACACTCAACTGGACAGATTTTAGACATTCCAAGCTATTGAGCTACTCATCCACAAGCTCTCTTGAGCTCTTGTGTGTCCATGACGAAGCTAATTTGTTAAAGAGAATACCTAAACCAAATATTTGTGGAGAGTTTCGTTTCTACTCAAATTTTTGGTATTTTAATACTAACGAGATTTTCGATTTTACAAATAACTGTAAGAAATGAATATATAAAAACGTTTGGTATAATAATATTGCTTAAAGTCTAAAGCAGACCAAATTCAATATGTTTTATTTGGTAAAAATAGAAGAAGTTTAAACTACATGACACACGCTAAATGGGTGCAAAGTAGAAAATTCTTGCTGTGACATTACTTATGTGTGTGTGTATATGTATATATTTAAGGGCTTTTTATATATTTTCTTTTCCGGATACATCCTGTCGAATATGTTGTATTTGTATTTAATTTGAGAAGTTGTGCTTATAACAAACCATTGCAGCTGCTTGTACAGGTAGCGCACTCAATATTCGCTCTGGTCTAACTGAGCTACCTGCCCGACCTCATGGAGTTCTAGTGCTGTTCCGGCTAGCCCGGCAGATTATTAACATCAAGTTAATAACCACCCTAATGTACAGTTGTGCGGCGCATTCAGCAGCCGTTGCTCCAGCCGTGCGAAGGCATTTTAAGTTGTCTGCTGCGCGTTGCCCGCTGCTGCTGCTGCTGCTGACGTTCATTGTTGTTGTTGTTGTTGTAGCCTATTTGTCAGTCAATTAGTCAGCTTATTGGCAAGCGATGATTGCAGAGAGAAAAACAAGCTAAATACAAGCACAAACGTACACACAAGAGACCGACAATCGTCGGGCCCAGCCGACGGTCGACAACCGACAGCTTTTCCATTTCAAAATTACGCTCCACACGCACACACACACACACATACACACGCACCCAGCGTCGTCGTTTAGCCGCGTGCGTACACACAATTTTCCGCTACTCATGATACAAATTGTTTATTGGATTTCCTCTCAGCTTGCTAAGTTTTATTTTTCATTTACATTTCTCGTTTTGTTTCGTTTTATGTTTATGGGCTGTTTAGAAAACAATTTGCGGCACCCAACACCCAACTCAGCCACCCGCCCAACTGGGCTGTTAATCTGTCTGACTGTGTGTGTGTGTGTGTCTATATATATGTGTATTTTGTTAGTTGATAAAGCGCGTGTTGACATTAATGGCGGCAACGCGCCATTTGAAATTGACAGCGTTATTGACCTTAAATTTTCGTGGCCCAAACCAGCTCAGATGTTGTTCGGGCCAGTTGGCGACCAAACCGCTGACCAAAGACTCCGCCAGTCGACTACATTTTGGGACTGCGCTCTGACTCACACAAGCTGCAAAGTACTCGCAACTGGCCAACAGTCAGTCACGTATCCACGACGTTGTACAGAGCAGAGCAACAACAAAAACAACTGCAACAACAACAACCACAGCAAGCAACGCCCCATCAACGGTCGCTGCCATAATTTGTGGTCTTTTACTGTGAACTGCTGCTGTTGTTGTTGTTGGCCCATTGTTGCCGCAACCTCAGTGCTGGGCATTATGATACGGCTATTAATACATACACAGGCACACTCTCACACACACACACACGCTCACATGTCTAGGGGGCAGGGGAGGATTCGCTGTAACGAAGGCGGCGCATTTTCGGTGGTGGCAAAAATTGTTCGAGCCTTTCATTTTGCCTTTTTAGATTTTATGGCTTTTGTGCGTTACAACGGCGCTTTTTGTAGTACATTTGTTTTATAACAGCCACCGCAGAAGCAGCTACAGCAACAGCAGCAGCAGCAGCAGCAGCAGCAGCAGCAGCAGCTACAGCAACAGCGCCAGACCGCGAGGGTACGCTGCAGCAGGAAGGAAGCCAGGGGGGGTGGAGTGCCTGGCACACACACACACATACAGCTTAGCACATTGCTCGCAGTTATTACACAATTTTCCCCAAAGCGCCAGAGCCAAAGCCACTTGGGCCATTCGCGTGCCCAGAACAAGGGCGGGCGAGGAAGAGAGAGCGTCAGAAAGCGACGAGGCCAGGAGCTACTCACCTTCTTTTTTTATTTTTTTGTGAAATTTTTCCACTCACGACTTCCCTACCATAAAAATACAAAAAGTTGCTAACCAAGCAGGCCAAAGCCGTTCAGTCAGCCAGTTAGCCAGCCAGCCAACCAGGCCAGCTAACTGGGCTCTTGCTGCCGCTGCTGCTGCTGCTGCTGTTGATGTCGCTGATAAGTGTTGGTCGCAAACGCAGTCGACCGCTGCACAGTGGCAAAAAGTGGCTCAAGAAATGTCTAGGGCCATTTTTGTTGTTGTTATTAATATCTACACATATATATGGGCATGTCAGATAACGTTTATCAAACGTATTTTGGTAACTTAATTAAGGCGATTAAAATCTTAACTGGGCTCAAAAGGGTGCTTGGGGGAACGGTCTATTCAAGGTCTTATTCAAAATAAAATAAAATATAATTTAGTACATCTTATCCAACATAATTCTCTTCATTAGCTCTTCATATTCGAAGTAATTTAACTTTAATAATAAGAGGTTTGGCCTGATGTATTCAAGGTATTTTAAGGTCTTATTCAAAATAAAACAAAGTGTAGCACAGAGTAGAAACTTACACAACATATTTGTTTTATAGTTTGCATAATCTTTTCACATGCAAAGTTTTATTAACAATAATAAAGGCGTAGCAGGGGACATTGAGAGATATTTAACAGTAGATGAATAAGATAAAGATAATCACAATTAAGTGCAAGTGGCAATTTCCCAACTTCGGCGTAAATAGTTTTTCTTTATTCACTTGCATTTGAATAGCTTTTTAACCACTGTGCAGGCCAGCCTGGCCGTTGGTCCGTGCGCCGTGGCACCCTACGCCGCCTCATCGTCAGTCATTTAGGCGGCGTGTCGTGCCTTATTGAGTGTAAATCTGTCGACAATATTTTCTGTTTTATTTAATTTTTCCTTGTTTCTTTTTTATTGTTGCGCCTGTGCAAAGCCGAAGCGAGGCGCAATGGTTTTTATTTGCCTGCTGCTGCTGCTGCTGCATTTAATTAATTGATTTTAATTGCCATAATTTGTGTGCCGTTGCCACACAACCGCAACCGCCGGCATGCGAGAGTGTGCGTGTGTGTGCGTGTGTGTGTGTGTGTGTGTGTGTGTGTGTGTGTGTGTGTGTGTCGGCACTGATATTGATTCGTAAGCAAATTTAATGATAAGTCCCCTCCGCCTAACTGCCCCTCATGTGCGGCCTCGGCTCGTTACAGTTATTCGCCAAGTTACTTGAGCGGAAAATCTGTTTACAGCTGCACGCACACTTGAGAGGCGGCCAAAGAAAAAATAACCACACACAGATACACACGCACACTCGCACACAAAGTGAATAAAGCTGCAATGAAACTGTTCACCCTCACTTCCCCCCCCCCCCCCTCGCCCATGTTTGAGTCCCCGTCTGGCAGCATATGCAAACGATTAAGTGCTCGGTCCGCACATAAAACTCCCTAAATCCAGTGCGTCTGGCCTCCAGATTCGCTGCACGCAGCTCTCGTCTATTTGCCAGGCACATTACACGGCATTATTTTTATTGGATTATTTATTTATGCATGCTGATATCACATGAGAGCGCTTGTATGTTTTTTTTTTTTTTTTGTTTTTTTGGCGGATTTTGTATTGCAGACTGTTAATCATTTTAACCGTACCACGATGCATTTTCTTTTTGCAGTTGAATTTTCATATCATAGCGGGCATAAAAAGGCTTAACACTGGACCGGAAGCGTGTTTTTAAAGGGTGATGGCGGCCTCCACTCAAGGAGAAATACGAGTGGGTCCCGGCCACCAGGTAAACGATGTCTATGTACGTACATAACTCTCACAATTCAGAAATTCAGCTCACGGTAACAAAATAAAAAAAATGCAAAAAAAAAGATGTTATTTTCTTTTTGTATTGTAATCGTAATGTTGCAAATTCTAATTGTAATCCCAATTAATATACCCACCCATCCCTCCACACCTACCCAGCCCAAACAATACCCTACACTCGCTTGTCTTGAGCTTTCAGTTTAATCAAATTTTCTAAATTCCGATTAGTAAGTTGCCCACGATATGAGTCTAACAATCTTTCAATCATTATTTAGTGTCCAAATGTCACAACATTGGAATGATAAGAGAGTCTTGTCTGCAAAAAGCGTCAAATTTAAGCTCGTGGTTCATAAAACAATGAAACTTGTTAATTTTTTAATTTTTGCTACCAACAGAAAATGATTATTTACAATTAAATATTCGAGATTTTACTCTGAAAAACAAAGCACATACTAAATATCTTTCCTTGAGTTCTTTACATTATCTTTAATAAAAAGATGAGCTGGTGATAAGTTTTAATTGAAAATTTGTAATCTACAAAAAGTTCTATGCCCTCTACAGTGTTCGCTCGATAAGTAGATTCCCTCCAGGAAAGACCTTCTTCTATTTTATCTAATCTCATTGAAAGGCTCTTTCGTGTGGGCAACTTTGATTTGTAGCTTGATAAAATTTATAAATCATACTCAATTACTAACAGCTGTAAATAATACGTTTACCCAATTGGTTTTTCATATTAACTAATGCGTAAAGAACATTTACAACCCTTCCGCCTAAGTCTACCCTACCCCTATCTCCTCCACATCGCCAATCGCTGAGGTGCTTGCGGTCAAATCATTTACATGACCAAAGGTGTTCAGTAACAGGCGCTTAACCGTTTCCTACCCGCCCCTATCCACACACACACACACTTACACCTCACATCAACGCATTGTTCATACATTTCATGCATTAGGCTTAAGTTGTGTATTGTCATATCTTCCTGTATCGTATGACACCAGACAAACTACATGCATACATATCTTTATATATGTGTATACATGCCCGGTTGGAAATGCACTGCTTATTAATAATATAAATAGTTGGAAAGAGAAAAAAATAGAAGCGAGTGCTCTGACAAGTCATACAGCACGTCCTGCAAGACGTGTAGCATGACACGTCATCAAGGGTGTCCTGCATGCATTTTATTTCCAACCGGGTTGGCTTACATTGTATGGCTTAATGTGTTCGTAGAGTATGTCTCGAGTCTGTGGTGTGTGTGATATAACTAATCCCAAAAGAAAAAAAAATAGAGTTGATGCGATGTTTTTTTGGCGTTTCGTTCCGTTTTTTTTTTTATTAACTAATACCGCAACTTCTTCTGTCTTGTCTTGTCCTGTGACTGAAGGCAAAACTGCCCGATTATAATCCAATCTCAAGCTTCCCCGTTGACAAGGAAACCGATGAACGTGAACTAGAGGAAACAAGATGGAGTCCTGGCGTTGTGGCCGATGGCGACTTGTTAATGTTTCTGCGTGCGGCACGCTCCATGGCTGCATTTCAAGGAATGTGTGATGGCGGTTTAGAAGACGGTTGTTTGGCTGCCAGTCGCGACGACACAACAATTAACGCACTAGACGTGGTAAGTGCCCCATTTAACTCCTGCTCCCCGTCCGACTAATTGATGTCGCAATCCGTTTTAATAGCTGCACGATTCTGGCTACGATCCAGGCAAAGCTCTACAAGCGCTCGTAAAGTGCCCCGTTTCAAAGGGCATTGACAAAAAGTGGACCGAGGACGAAACGAAAAAGTTCATCAAGGGTCTTCGACAATTTGGCAAGAATTTCTTTAGGATCCACAAGGACCTGTTGCCACACAAAGACACACCGGAGCTGGTCGAGTTCTACTATCTGTGGAAGAAGACGCCCGGCGCCAACAATAATCGCCCACATCGGCGACGCAGACAGAGCGCCTTGCGTCGCAATCGTGTTACGCGCGCCAACAATACACCTCCCAAAAAGGAGGACACCCCGGAACCACAAGCTGCGACGACGGCGACGGCGGCGGCGTCGGCTGCAGAGACGGCGAATCGCTCATCGCCCGCTGTCTCCAAGGAGGAGAACAGTTCTCTAACCGAGGACGACGCCAGCGAGTGTGACAGTGATTCGAGTCTGACCAACAAAAGGGATGAATCACCCTCTAGGATGAGGACGAGAAACAAACAACAGAACAACAACAACAACAACAGCAGCAGCGCCAGTGCAGCTGGTGGCGGTGGCAACTCTGCCGCTGCTGCTGCTGCTGCCTCCGTCAACGCCTCTGCCAACAGCTCCGCCAAGGATCAATCCTCGGGCTCAGCGAGCAACAACAGCAACGCCGTGGCGAACGGCAAGCGACCCAAACGGGGCTCCGATACACCGGATGCTGCCGCAACAGCAGCCGCTGCCGGCGACAGTCCCAAAACGCCCACCAAGAGCGCGGCCGAGGGATCCGGCAATAAGCGGAAGGGCGGCAAACAGGACACGCCCAACAAGAAGAAGCGCACCGAAACGGACACCAACAACAGCAGCAGCGATCAGGCCAACAACAGCACCGAGGACAACATCAAGGAGAAGCAGCGCAAGCGACCGGACAGTCCTGTCGAGAGCATGAACTCCGACAGTCGTCCCGACTCTGTCCTGGACGATGGCGAGTCGAATACGACAGACACGGATGGCCGCACAGCGGAGCAGCAGTCCAGCAAGGACAGCAAGGAGATCAACTGCAAGGAGGAGAGCGGCGCTGTGACGCTGTCCGGCGATCTGGACTCCAAGTCGGAGGTCAACGAGAAATCGATCAAAACGGAAACGTCCTGCGCGGAAGACAACAAAGATAGCATCAAGAACATGGATGAGGAGACGAACATTCAAGCGCCCAGCAGCATACAGCCACTCAGCATCAAGCCCACGCACGTGGATGGTCTGCTAAAGGACTCCAGCTCCATGGAGGCGCCACAAGCAGCTGTTGCGGTTGCACCGATTGCAATGAAGGTGCCCACAATTGCCACCGTAGAGGCGCTCAATGCCTCTGTCGATCGTGATCGCAAGGAAGCCATTGAGAAAATGGAGATATGTGAGAACGAAGCGGCTGCACGTGATCCCGATCTGCTCAAGAAGCTCGCTAGCATTAAGCAGGAGACGTTGCCCCAGCAGCAGCAGCAGCAGCAACAACAGCAGCAACAACAACATCAACAGCAGCAGCAGCAGCTGGGTGTGCCGCCGGTGTCAGCTGCCTCGGGGCCCATGCAGGAGGCCGTCTACATCAAAAAGGAGCCAATGGAGGACTCCATGGATGCCACATGCAATCAAAACAGCAATGAGCCGCAGGATCTCAAGGTTAAAATCGAAATCAAAAACGAGGATCTTAAGATTAATGCCAGCGGCCTGCCACCAGTCAGTTCCGCGGCGCCGCCGCCCAATGCCCAACTTGCTGGCCTGCATCATGGCGCCGTTGATGGTGTCAACGCGGAACCACTGCATCTGCAGCACATGCCACATGGACCAACGCCGCAGGCGCCCGCCGGCTATCTAATCGACGGGCAGCTGAAGTATGGACCGCCCGGGCAACCGCCTCCACAGCCGCCACCACAGCTGCACAGTGATCCGGGCAGTGGCGGGGTATCGAGCGCAACGCCTCAGAAATATCCTGGCGATATGGAAATGAAGTACAACGAGGCGGCCGTCAAATTTGAGCCCAGCAGCGGTAAATTTGCGCCACAGGAGCTGAAGTATCCGGTGCCACCGCAGCTGGATCCGCTCAAGTACAGCCAGGAGATTCAGGCAGCGGCTGCCGCTGCGGCAGCTGTGGGCAAATACGACATGAAGTACATGATCGAGCAGCAGGGCAAGTATCCGGTGGAGCTGGCACCGCCCAAACCGGGCTACCAGGAGGCCCTCAAGATACCCGATGTAAAGCCGGGCTTTGCCCATCTGCCGCACAACATTGGCTCGTCTTTGGACGGATCCGGTTCGCACAAGTATGCCCCGACAGGTCAGCCGATGGATCAGCAGCCGCCGGGCGCGACACCGCCGCCCGGCATTGCCATGCCCAAGCCGCATTATCAGCACGATGTGCAGACGCCGCCGCTGGGGCGACCTTTTGAGCCCACAGGCCTCATGCTCAAATATGGTGATCCATTGGCCGGCAAATACGGGCCGCCACAGCCGCAGGATCTCAAGTATCCGATGCCGCCCGTGTCTGCTGCCGGCGGCGAGAATCTGATCAAAGCCTCGCCATATGGCCCGCCGCCAGAGAGTCCCATTGACGCCTCGGCGCGCTCCACGCCCGGCCAGGATAGCCAGGGCAGCAATAGCAATAGCAATTCGCAGCCCCCATCCTCACAGCCGCAGCAGTTCCAGTCGCCGCATCCCTCGCCGCACATGCCTTCGCCAGCTGGCGGCGGGTTGCCACCCGGCATGCATCCACAAAATCTCATCTCCCCGCACAGCCATGGACCGCCGCCGAATAGTGGCCCCGGCTCCGGACCAGGTCCACAGCCGCCAACGTCGCTGCATCAGCCGATTAGCAGCACAATGTCGGGTCAGGGAGGACCGCCCAGCCTGCAGCATGGACTGCCGCCGGGCCCGGGTGGCCCACACGCACAAATATCAGTCGCCAATTCGCTGTCGGGCGTCGTCTCATCGCTGGGCGCGCCCACGCTTTCCACAATGGCGCCCTCGCATCCCATGCACCCGCACATGCATCCGCACCAGCATCCGCATCTGCAGTCGCTGCAGTCCTTGCACCGACCGCATCCCGATCTGCCGCCATCCATGCATCCGCATGCGCCCATGGCCATGTCGCTGCAGGCGCCAGGTCCGCCGCCACCGCACAGCCACGGCCATCCGCTGGCGCCCGGCCACGGACAGCAGCAACAGCCGGGGGGACCGGGAGGTCCAGCAGGTACAGTACGCACGCCTTCGCCGGCGCAGCAGCAGCAGCCGCCGCGTAGCCTGCACGATCCGTTGCCAACATCGCGTGAGCCGCCCGCCTCGCACACATCGACGGCGCCAACGGGGTCGATAAGCGGCCTGAGCTCCGGGCCGGGGCAGGGACAGGGACCGGGACCAATGCCACATCAGTCACCACACGCGCATCGCACATCACCGCTGCCGGGTCTGGCGCATCCGTCTGGCCTTATTGGCCATCCGATGCCCATACATCCGCATTTGGCGCACCTGCCACCGGGTCATCCAGCACACGCAGCGCTCGCGCATCCCGGCCATCATCTGCTCTCGCATTCGATAGCGGGCCTGAGCCATGGCGGCGGTCCCATTGCGCTCCTGGCGGGTCCCGGCGGACTGGGTGGGCTGCCCGAGTCGGCGCTCAGCCGACGCACACCGCCCAGCCATCTGTCGCACCCGCACGCCTCGTCAGCGCCCTCGACGCCGCACTCGGCGGCCATCTCGACGAGCATGTCGCTGACCACCACGCCCAACACGGTGCCATCGTCCGCCTTCAGTCGCGCCAGTCCCAGCGTGCAACTCTCCAGCGGTTCCGCTCCAACTGGCCCTGGCGGCAACAGCAACAGCGGCACGCCGAACAACTCGTCCGCTGCTGCGGCCGCGGCCGCTGCACATCGCGCCGCCTCGCCCGCCTCCAGTGTGGGCAGCCTAAGCCGGCAGAGTCCGCTGCATCCTGTGCCGCAGTCGCCGCTGAGTCATCATCCCTCATCGTCGGCGCTGTCCGCTGCAGCGGCGGCCGTTGCCGAACGTGATCGGCACGCGCTGCTGCGCCAACAGTCGCCGCATATGACGCCGCCGCCAGTGTCCAGCGCATCCGGTCTGATGGCCAGTCCGCTCAGTAAGATGTATGCACCGCAGCCGGGTCAACGAGGATTGGGTACCTCGCCGCCGCCGCATTTGCGACCGGGCGCCTCGCCGCCGGTCATACGCCATCCACAGATGCCGCTGCCATTGCCGCTGATTGCGCCAGGCGGTGGCATTCCCCAGATTGGCGTGCATCCCGGTCAGTCACCGTATCCGCATCCGTTGCTACATCCCTCGGTCTTCTACTCGCCGCACCATCACAATCCCTTCAACTCGCCGTACGGCTATGCACCCTATGGGCCTGGCTTCCCTGCCTATATGAAGCCACCGCCACCAGCCGGCCCACTGGATCCCGCCGCTGTGATGGCGGCCCATCATGCTGGCCTTCAGGGTCCGCCACCGCAATCGCGTCAGGATGAACAGAACGCAGCAGCTGCGGCGGCGGTGGCTGCTGAAAAGCAACACGCGGCGGCAGTAGCCGCTGCTCAGCAGCAACACAAGGCGGGACAGCAGCAGCAACAACAACAGCAGCAACATCAACAGCAGCAACAACAACAACAGCAGCAGCAACAACAACAGCAGCAGCAACAGCAGCAGCAACAACAGCAGCATCAGCAACAACAACAGCAACAACAACAGCAACAACAACAGCAGCAGCAGCAGCAGTCTGGCGGTCCGCAACAGAACAAGCCGCCGACGCCAAAGACGCCGCAGGGACCTGGTGGCATGGGTGTCGGCATGGGCGGCCCAGGCACACCAACAGGTCTGCCGCCTGGCGCCTATCCAGGCTCTCACCTGGCTGGCTATCCGCCGCCGCCGCACGCGTCGCCGTTTGCGCCGCAGGATGGACAGCAGCATGGCATGAAACCGACCTCGCACATGGATGCGTTGCGAGCGCACGCGCACTCGGCCAACTCTGCGGGAATGGGCGGTGGACATCATCCGACAGAGCCATGTAAGTGTTGGCAACTCGCAGAGATTTGGCAGCTCTTCTTTAAATAATCATAATTTTTGTCTATTTGTAGTGCCCATTGACATTGAGCCGGATCCGGAACCCGAGATACCCAGCCCCACGCACAACATACCGCGCGGTCCCAGTCCCGAGGCGAAGCCCGACGATACCGAATGCCATCGCTCGCAGTCGGCCATGTGAGTAGCCCAGCATTGAATACACTCGCTTGAGCCAAATCTTATTAATCTATTCACTCGCTTTGCAGCTTTGTGCGGCACATCGATCGCGGCGACTACAACTCGTGCACGCGCACGGATCTGATTTTCAAGCCGGTGACCGATTCTAAGCTGGCGCGCAAGCGCGAGGAACGCGATCGTAAGCTGGCCGAAAAGGAGCGCGAGCGAAGACAGGTGAGAAAATGTGCATTATATATATTAAATATTATATTATATATTTTCCCTCTGTGCTCACCAGCAGCAACAACAGCAGCAGCAACAACAACAACAGCAACAGGCAGCTGCCGCACAACAGGCTGCACAGCAGGCCAAGATGAAGGCCGAGCTGAAGCCGCCGTATGCGGACACGCCGGCGCTGCGCCAACTGTCGGAATACGCGCGTCCACATGTCGCCTTCAGGTGAGCGTCGAGTCCTTGAAGGGATTGCTATATTGTTGAGTCGTATTTAGTTAAAGTCTTCATTTGATTTGTAGTCAATTATATGTAGTTGATTTGTGAGTCGCGTTCGTATTGTAATAATTTCCATTTCGATTTCAGTCCTGTTGAGCAGATGGTGCCTTATCATCATCCAATGGGCCCAATGTATAGCCGAGAGAGGTACAGTACCTAGTACAAGCCTGCCAAATCCTCATCTCAAAGCACCAAAACACACGCAAAACACACACACACACACACACACTCACTCACACACACACACACACACACACACACACACACACACACACACACACACACACACACTCACCCGCACACGCACACACATTTATACTGACAACCGAACTCCTCCTTTGCTAACTAACCTTCATATTTTGCTTAATTACACGCACGGTCAAAATTAATGCTTCAGTTCTTAACCCATTCGCCGCTTATTTGCCTGCCCTTAACCTTAATCCTCGACAAAATATTAAACCTATTTCTGCTTCTCCAAATTGTAGGCCCTTACTCATGCTTCCAACCTTGACTAATTGCAGAGAATTGGAGGAGATTAAAAATGCACAAGCGGCTGCCGCGAGTCAATCGCGACTGGATCCACACTGGATGGAATACTACAGACGGTAAGTCGTACCTCCACTTAATCCTCCCGAGCAATGTTAATAATGTTCTCAATTTCTCTTACAGTGGCATACATCCGTCACAGTTTCCGCTGTACGCGAATCCGGCTATTTCACAAATGGAACGCGAGCGTCTGGGCATACCGCCGCCGCATCATGTTGGCATGGATCCGGGCGAGCATATGGTGCGTATAGACTGCATGGCCAGCTCTCATCTTGTACACCATACTCGAAACTCCACTCATATTCACAGAATCAATCGTATTTGGAAAAAAAAAAAGAAAACAATTCAAAACAATTTAAACCAAACGAATTCAAAACATCTCTGCACAAATCACATGTCCACTTGTCAGCTCAATTAACCAAAATTTAAAAAAAAAATTGAAAGCGAAAAGAAATGTTATTAATTAGAGTACAACATGTGTCCATGTCCAAGCACGTGTGCTAACCCACATTTGGCATTGCAATTGTCTCGTGCTCCACATGTGAGACGTGTCTCTGCCGCTCTCTAACCCCCATTTGTAAGCCATCCGCAGTCGGTGCTCGTTTCTTGTTTCTCGTTTTCGCCATTCTAACACGCATTATCCACAATTCCATAACGCATTCTCCCGCTCCCACTTACAAACAATGTCGCATTGCTATATATTGCAAGCAGGCTCCATTATTCTCAGACGCAGCACTGGCTCTTTTGAAACTATCAACGATATTCAATAATTTTCAGATACGATTGACGAGAGAATATCATGCACACTCTCATACTCATTTACATTTGCCTTTGCATCCACAGCCGCAACCACCGGAGGCCGGTTTCCAACTGCCACGTGAGTTTGTATAGTCGCTGAGTTGTGAAAATCACAAAAATAAAACTAATGTCTGCATATCTCTATGCTTCACTTTTCCCCTTTTTTTTCTCTCCCCACTCTTCAGCGAATGTTGGCCAATATCCGCGCCCAAATATGCTTATACCTAGGGAGCCGCACTCGGACGTTTTGCTGCGTATGTCGTATGCGGATCAGCTACAGGTTTCCCAAATTCCTATGAAAATTTCATAACTGATTAATTACATATATACAGTATTTACAGGCCGCCGAGTTTCAACGTCAATCGCTGCACGATCAATACTTTAGGTGAGTCTCAATAAAAGGGCGCCATCCATCATTAGGGTGGCCCAAAACAACAACAACAACAGTCATAAACAGTCAGTCATTCGGCTCATTTGCTCATCTGTATTTTTGTGTGACTTTTTTGACTTTTGTTTATTGTCTTTGTCTATGGTTTGTTCCTTTATCATTTTGTGTGTTTTTTGTATCTGTATCACGCCCACCTTCTTTTTCTATCCATAACAGACAACGGCCCAGATAAGTGGACTATTGGCCAGGCAGACAGAATCCCAAAAGCAACTGAACAAAGAAAATACTCTTGGCCGGCGGCCGTGAGGAAAATGCTTTGTGTGATTTTTGTGTTCAAACGTTTACATTTTGCTTTTCAACAACAAGAACCAGAACAACATTCATGCATATATAAATATATATATATAATTATACATCTACACAACAACAGCAACAATATCAATGGTCCCATATATATATATATATCGTGCATCCAGGCTATATAACTAGCAACTTTAAGTTGTGCAACGCTTTGTCCAGTTTTTATGTAAAAAGTTAGTAATGTTTTTAATTTATCATCTATGCGCATCCCACATGTATCACATCTAGACACTAGATTCCTTCAAATAATTTTATGCTAATCTGTATTCCAATTTTATACAGAAACCAGCTACGTTAAGTGTGTTCCGTTCTGAACAGCTGACACCAACTTATTATTATGGACAAAGGGAATCGCATACAAAATCAAAAGAAAAACCAACTGACGAGAAACAAGCAAAGAAAACATGATGGTCGCAATATTTTAAGTATCGTCTTTATAGTGTATAGTGTTAAAATTCTAAAAACAAACAAATGAGAGGAGACGAAAGCGTGTTAATTATCGTTTAAGCTTACGAGAATTGATTAAGGCAAATGGAACAAAACTTAGCACACAAATTTTTAAGGTTTTCAACTGCATAATGTGCAAAACATATTTCTGATTGTAACAGCACTTTGATAATACCCTATGACTAAATACTAAGCTCTATTCAAATCAAATTAACTAGACTTTTCCAATTAGCTAAAACAACAACAGAGCAAAACCAAACTTTTTAGAATATATATTATATATATGTATACAACTGCAGGACATGGTTAAGGTATTATGCTGTCAACGCCCAAAAAGCTTGTGCGCTTTGTTCCGATCAAACCAATGTCTGTCTATATATATATATATATATATATTGAATGTATTGTACAAAGGGCTACTTAGAGATCTTAGCTGTCGCCGCTTACTGCAACTATTTTGACATCTCTCATATGCTGAGGAGGTGTAATATGTAATTTCAACTAAATGTACTTCCAGCCACAATTGAACTATGTAATTTGTAATGTTAGTGCGCTTTTGCTGCTTACCTTGAATTCTTAGTAATTTAGTAATACGTTATTTTTGTGTTGGCTTGCTTGGCTTACTTACTACTCATTAACTTATTCATTTTTTGCTTTAACTATAGTATTATATATTATCAAAAAGAAACAAAAAAGGAAGGCAACAAAAAAAACGTGTTTGTATAAAGTTTCATAAAACAAAAAAAAAACTACAAAAAATAGCTAGCTTATAAGTAAAAAATTAATGTATGTTAATTGTCGATGCGATTTTCAGCAAGAAAAGCATGCATATTTCATGCAAGTCCCCAAACGCAATCCATGTACTATATATATATATATATATATATATATATATATATATATGTGTATGGAGAACGGCGTGTGCATGTATAGCAGCTGCAATATTTCGAGTGCTTAATTTATATTATTAGTAATTTATACACAATATATATATATATATTAATTATATGAGCGGCATGCATTAAAACAGATAAATCTATATTTCAACAAAATGAAAAGATTTATATTATATTTAAGACGCAAATATATACACACACACATACACTACGACAATTTAACATGGATGCGTGAATAATACTATAAACAAATTACATATTTTTAAATACCATTTTTTATTTGACATTATGAATATACACATTGAATTATAGTATAATATAAATATATATATACAGCGTTTATTGTAGAATTTTGCGAGCATATTTGAAACAAAATGAAAAACTAAAAAACAAAAAAAACAAAGCTGAAAACCAAGCACAGAAACAAACATGAGCCACATCATTTGGCACAGTTATCGTTTAAGATTGTAAAGTGAAAATCCAGGCGTACATATTTATATATACATATACAAAATGAAAGGAAAAACATGCAGCTATATATGCATATGCTAAAAATATATAAATATATATAGTTATATATATATTTCACACAAAACAAAAAGCATATACACAATTCGATGATAATGATAATACAAAATAAATTATTAAAAACCTGTAAAAACTAAGTAAAGCAAAATAAAATTAGTTACATTAGTTACAAATCCAAACAACGTTCATTTAATTATCTATTTTAATAACTTCTCTAAATGCGTTCAAATAAACAAATTAATAGAAAATTACGTTTAGATTAAAATTAAAATTTGCTAAATTGCAGAAAGCACCTAAATGAGTTTTCAGCCATTGGCGCTCGAGTTTTAAGTTTCGTTAGCTTAAGTTTTCTTACTTTGCTTATTTTTGTATTATTATTGAGCTATAAAACGAGCTTAGCAACAAACGCGTGTTGCAATACCTTTTGAATTGTTTGTTCGCAATAATTATTTTTAATTTTGTTGTTAGGTCATAAAATGTAAACTTTTTTGTTTTAAATTGTACTAAAAAACTCAACTATGCGGTGCTCAATAATCTCAGTAATCAAGCAAAAAGCTCAGAGCCGCCTTGCAGCTAGCACCAGTTCTAAGGGACGATGTCCTGCAACGATTTCTTAAATTCACGGAGAAGTTTAGCCGCTTAAAGTGTGAGTTTCGTGTTATATTAATTTATTTCACCCCTTCATCAATCATTTGTCATCTTATAGCGTTTTTGCTTTAATCAATCATGCAACGCTTTCGTGTCGGAATCATATTATTTGTTTTCATCTAAGCAACAAGTTTTTGTGCTGCATTCCCAAAAAGGAAACGACTTTTTATGCCCTAGCAGAGAGTATTGCACTTCAGACGGTGAGTGTGTAATATTTGTCTATCTTATGCGCATTTATTTGTTATCTGAATCAATACTTACTTGAGGCTCTCGCATATATTAGAAATAGATATATTACAAAGCTCAAATGATAATATTCTAGATAGGAGGTGCAGTGGTTTCTATTTATTTATTGATAGCCAAGCATGGTAACCACAATTACACGTAACATTATACATATATAGTAGATAGAAAGATTTTACCTATAACGAGCAGCAGCTCGTAAATCACTATGTGCAGTGGCATTATAATAACTAATCAAGTGTATGGGTATGAAAATGGAATGAAGAGCATAAATAACAAGAATTACTTATGCTTAACGCACGGGCAGAACACTTAAGTGTGGCTGTGGTTGTGCGAGTATATATATATATATATATATATCAATTCATGAATAATCAATCAAATAAATAGAATCGGTGCCATGTGCTGCATTAATTATGAATAGCTCGCCACGTTAACTCTTAAATCTTAAAGCATTTGTTAATCGCAGTATTAGACATGTGCTCCATCCATGCGATATTGGGTCAAGTACCTCATTTCTACTTCCCAATTCAAATTGGCGGCACACGCCCTCACACTGCGACAAAGCGTGCAAACAAAGCCGGAGCCGGAGACGAGCTGCACGGGTAAAGCTAAATTGCAGGGCTTAATTAAAATATTAAGCGTGCAAGAGCGATGTATTTAATACAAAACATTCGCGTTGCGGTCCGGGTCTCTGGGCCAGGACCTGCGCCGCATGCCTCTAATTAAAAGCCACTAAAACGATGTCCTTGAGCCGCGCTAACCAGCAGGCTGAGGCCTAGCAGGCCGGCGAACCAGCTACACGCTATGCCAGCAGCTGCATTTTCGGCATCCACGAACGGAATGGAGCCCCAATCCCGCTTGGCAATGTCGGGTATGCCGGGATCGTTAAAGTAAACGATCCGATTGTTGAGCGGTTGGGTTGGACGAAAGTTGTTCTTCAGGTGGTCATCGTTGGCCGTCAGTAGACGAAAGTGATTCAGCTGTGAGTAAACCAGTTGTCAATCAAATATACGATAACCATGTTAGACCAGACGAGACGACTCACCTGATACTCTGATATGTCTATGGGCTGATAGTAATCTATCCAGACCACCTTCTCGGCGCATGGCGGTGTTGTCAACGAGCCTATGTAGGTGAAATAGGTAACGAGATCATATTCCAAAAACTTGTCCAGTGGCAAAGGCTCCACCAATTCAGCGGATTGGCCCTTGCGGCTTATCGAGCCCAGATTCTCCGCAAATTCGACATAGCTGGGATTATCCGCTCCTGTAATCTTTAATAGTATTATTCTCCAATAAGTTTGGTTCATAATTAATTGTGCTGCAGCTTAACTACCTTGAAGAAGAATGCCAACACGGCAATGCCATGATCCTTATCCAGGGCACTTTGAAAGTCCTTGTAATCCAGACTGCGCATAACCACATGCAGCTCAGCGGGATAGGATCGGTTGTTTATCAGATCCTCGCTGCCAACGGTGTCGTTTTCGCCCCAATGAAAGTGAAACTGCTCGAATTGGTAGTCGGTCTTGCGTTCCAGCGGGCCGCCTCTTATGCGCGGCACCTTGCCCTGCTCAAAGTCCATGGTGACCAGCACAGTGTGTCCATTGTTGGTCAACTTAACGCTTTTGGGCTTAGCATCGAAATTGATATACTCGGGATAGGGAAACTTTTTCTTCGTCACATTCAGTACATCGATGTTAATGGGACTCTGGAACTTGCCGCTGCACCGCTGATAATCCTCAACCCAATGCTCCGGCCCATGCTGCCCGCCGTAGCCAAAGTCCTGCGCCGAGACAACGGCAACTGTAACAATGGATGACGATCAAGATCGAGACCTGCTAATTGCTTGGACAAGCGGAGACGGCGATGCCGTTCATGACAATGGTGACATCGAGACCATTGGCAAATATTTAATCACGACTATTATTAATTTGGCTACTATTTTTGGCAGCACTGAGATAGCTAAAAATATGCGACTACTGTCACCCTCAATTTGTTGCACAAATAATTTTAAGTTTGGCTGTGTATCTTTTTAATTTGCCGCCGTTCGCTCAACTTCACGCACGAGCAGGTCATGCTGCGAATCTGTTCGTGTAATTGTCACCTGCAAATAAACCTACATTTACACTCGCATATCAACCTGATTATGGACATTTTTCGCGTGGTTTCTTTCTATATGCTCTTATTTACGGTATTATAGTTATAGAAGTTGGCGATGACCCCACATTAAGTAAATATATTCTAGATCGAAGTCAACAGTCGAGTCGATATAGCCATGGTCAACC